CTCAATTGTCTCTTCCCATAGATAGTCAATTTTATTCCTGGATTTCATCTTGTGAAATCCACATGCATTCTTGCCATTTGTGTTTCAAAAAGTATTTGCAATGAAGATGTCATTGGTCTTGCAAATTGTATCATGCAATTGCCAGCTGAATTTCTATCACCAGGGCCCTATTGACAAACCAGTTCCTTTCTTTGTTTCCAACTTTTGCATTCCAATTGGAATGAACTATTGCTGCATCATAATTGAATGTTTTGATCAATTTCAGACTGAAGAAGTTGGTATATGGGGGAAAGGAGCCAACTTACTACGCCCACACGGAAGCAAGTCAAGAGGGAAACAGTGAAAGGGACAGTCGGCCTAGACTCCATATTGACACAGCAAGCCCAGAAGACGATGTCCCTCCATGGAGCTGCTAAGGACTGCAGGACCGCCAACAACTCAAGACATGTTGTCCCCTAACTGGAGTGTACTGCGACAGAGGACAATAATGGGGACACACGGTGGGGAGATAATGTGGCCTGAATCCCCCGCAGTGGATGAAACCAAGAAGGGAGCATAACAGATCAGCAATTGGAGCAAAGTCAATCCAAAGAGCCCCTAAAGAGCCCCCCCAAATTAGACTTTGGGCCAGGAGGGGAAGCCCCCGGAATCCCCCCAGGACCAAGGGGTAGAGATTCACAAAGGCCAGCGGACAGATCTGCAACTGTGTATGGTTGTTGTTGTTGTTTTTCCTTTCTCCTTTTCTTTTTTCAATCTTTTGTTTTCTTATTGTTTGTCCCAGGACAGTGCTGGTTTGCCTACTTATATAAGGCAGACATGGGAAACAAGCTCGGGGAGAAAGCAAGGGGGCCACTGGCACAAGAGGGTCTTGAGGGGAGAAGGTGGGGAGGTGGAAGGGTGTGGTAAGCAAACAACATCATAGACAGAGGAACAACTATGGAATTAAAATCAACAACTAGAAGGTTGCAGAGATCCTGTGGGTATTAGAGAAACACCAATCTAACTGAGAGGAAATACTAAGAGGTGGAAGAAAGGGGAATGTGATGGTGGGGCAGGAGGAGGCAGAGGGAAACAGAAGTAGGCTCTAGGAAGCAAAGCTATAGACAGAGGTATTAACAGAGGTGTGTATCTATAGCAAAGCTATAGATGGAGGTATTAACAGAAGTGTGTAAATACATTAATCCATACAAATAGAAGTATTGGCCTTATTGACCTATGTACATATATTTATAAGGCAATGCCTTATAACGTCCACCAAGGCTGTGGATGGGCCTTGGGTCTCAGCTCATACCTCCCTCAATACAAGAACACTTTGTTCTAACAAAATGGCATTTTGTGATGCTCACCGCCACACCCCCTCCCCCAAGATTGCTGAAGACTAAATGGGGGCATAAGCAAATGTGGTGAAGACAGCAAATGTGGTGAAGAAGATGGTGTCCTGCTATTAAAAGATATAGAGTCTGGGTTCTTAAAGACTTGAAGTTAAACAAGCAGCCATCAAACAGTGAAGCAACAAGCCTACATGAAAGAAGCACACCAGCCAGTGGAATCATGAGGTGACATTGGTACCGGGTAACAGGCATCAGAAGATTCATAACAAACAACAAACAAACAAAAATGTGTTGATGAGAACGGGAGGGGTTGGAGCAGAGACCCAAAGCCCATCTGTAGACAAAGGAACATTCCCCTACAGAGGGGCCACAGGGAAGGGATGAGTCAACCAGGGTGCAGTAGAGCACTGATGGATCACACAATATACCTCTAGTCCCTTGAGGCTTCCTTGCCCCCCACTATCATGACCCAAGTGCTGCTTCCCACTCTGGCCTGGACCAGATCATGTACATAGGTACAGGCAAGAGATAAAGACCACGACACATGGAACCCAGGGACAGGAATTGGAATAGCAATACCAAAAGGTGGGGGGGAAGAGGGGGAGGAAGAGGGAACCGATCACAATGAATGGCACATAACACACACACACACACACACACACCTCCAGGGGGAAGAACAACAGAAACCAGAGGGGAAGGGAGACAGCGGTCAGTGTGAGATATGAAAACAATAACAATCTGTAATCCATCAAGGGGCCACAAGGGTGGGGAGGGAGGAGGGAGTAGACCTTAGAGGAAATACAATCAGAGAAGATCAGTAGTATGAGATAAAAGTTAAAACGCATTCCAATTTTTATCTTATTAAGACGTTTGTATAGCTTCATGAATCACACATTTTATACAGTTTTCAAATTTCTTATCAGTATAGAGAAAGGACTGCTAAAACAGCCTGAGAAAACTAAACTTTCAGTTCCCCAAGAGATTTATTTGAATAATCTCTTCTTACAGATGAATCTCATTGCACATTTTCTTTTAACTTTGATTTCCCTCTAAAAGAGGATTTGACATTATTTTGGTTCCTGAGAATATATAACTTCAGTTTTTAAATTTTAAAAAATCCATCCATATTATCTTAAGAAGGTACACTAAGTTATAAAAAGTTGGGGAGAAAAAGAAAAGGCCGTTTTCCTTCTGTTGATTTTTTGCTGTGACAGTATTGTGTGCTAGATACTTTGTTGTTATCCACACTGAGCTAACTGAGTAAGGTAGATAGTCTGGATAGCTCATCATCAGTAAATGTTTGTTTCATGTTACTTAAACTATTCTGGTTTGAATTATGTATCAGAGGACTTAGTTATATAAATTAAAACATATAAATAAAATCTTATTTCATAAGAATAAAGATCGGCTCCCTACTAAGTGATTTAATAATAATATATATGTATATGTGTGTGTATATGTGTATACATGTTTGTACTTACAAAATAATGTAAACCTCAGTGAGTAATTTTGGCACTGATTTCTGACAAAGTTAGCACCAACTTTCACTAAATTAACTCAAAATTAACAAAAAATACCTAAGCAATCCATCAAGTACAGAAATGAGCACACTGGGTAAAAAGCAAAAGATAGGGCTGTTAAGAATAGTACTGTGCCCTGAAAAGATACGGGCTCTTTTTAAAAAGGCTCTGCTGATTAAAAATAACTATTCATGGAAATGGATAGCAGTGCAGTAAACCATTTAATGAGACTCATCTGGCCATAGTTAGTCTCTGTACTTCCACCCAATGACTTTTTCCTGATGGGACTGGGTAAGAAGGTGGGAAGATACTGATGGGATCATATAAGTTAGCTGTGAGTGATTGTGAACAGGGTTAATTGTGATTGCCAACCTGTTGGGTAAAAAATGAGCCATCTCGGAAGCATTTCAGGAGGTGGAATTTTAATACCAGCAAAAAGAGAGGCATCAAGAATGGAGCTCATTCTTCAGACCTCAAAGACAGGAGTAGCAGCAGAAGCAGGAGTCAGAGCATGGTGTAGAGCAGCAGACTTCCCAGCCCACAGAAAAGTACAGCTGAGTGCTTTGGGGCAGGAGGCTGGCTTGTGGAGTAGGATTCCCCTGGACACTTAATTATTGGGGCTGGGTTTGCTGACCCAGTGTCATTAGGCTGAAGCTTATGGTGGAGTGGCATGCCCTTTGGGCATTTATCGGAAGCCCTAAAAGAACTCTTTGACATTGCCCAAGCAAGACAGCCGCTAAGCCAATAATGTGAGGACCAGATAAAGGCCTACCTGCAGGAACAGCAGAGAATAAACTGTTTTGAGTAAACATTTGTTCAATCAGAATCCTGAGCATTTCTCACCTGAATTATAATTGGTTTACTTCTCTACTAGAGCCGGTAACTGTGAGAACTGTCTGAGGTCTATCAATTCAATGTACTACAGAACTCAGCTGAGAATTAGCGCATGTTGTCAAAATTGGTAGGATGGTTGGACGGTGAAGCATGTCTGACCTTTGCCTCTTAAGAATTGGTCCTAGGAGCCAGAAGAACTCAAATGTGTTGTCATTTCCATGCTTATATATTCATGCAAGATCTCTGCCTAAAGCGGTGGAAGCACCAGAGGTACCTGTGGCTGCAGTACTGAGACTGTGATAAAGAGCGGAGCAGCAGAACCGAGACCCTGAGACACAGCAGAGGCACAGCACTGAAAACATGAGACAGAGAAGCAGGCTTGTATGGCTATGAAAGACTGCGTGCCTACAAGCTGGAGGCTTGCAGAGTGATGTACCCTTTGGGCATTTTACCAATCTAAAGGAGCTTTGTAACACTTGCCGAACAGAAGCAGGGAATACTGCATGGTTTCACATCAGGAAAGGTGCACCAGGGTCATACCCGCTCACCAATGTATTCAACCTGTATGCTGAGCAACTCAACAGAGCAGCTGATTATAGGAAGAAGAATGTGGCATCTGGATTGGAGAAAGGCTTAGTAACTACCTGTGATAGGCAGATGATACAACCTTGCTTGCTGAAAGAAAGGAGCCCTTAAAGGACCTACTGATGAAGGTCAAGGATTGCAGCCTTTTCTATGGAATACGACTTAATGTAAAGAAGACCAAATTCCTCAACTAGACCAGTAGGTAACATCATGATAAACAGGGAAAAGGCTGAAATTGTCAAGGACTTTATCTTGCTTGGACCCATAAAATCAAAACTCACGGAAGCAGTAGTCAAGAAACCAAATGGCACATATCATTGGGTAAATCTGCTGCACAAGATCACTTAAGAGTATCGAAAAGCAAACACGTTACTTTGCAGACTAATGTGTACCTGATCCAAGCCATGCTTCTTTTCAAATTGACTCTCATTCAGGTTGGGCACAGAATAAGAAAAACCGTAGAAAAGTCAATGCATTTGAATAGTGTTCCTGAAGAAGAAAATTGAAAGTACCCAGGACTGCCAAAAGAAAACAGAGTCAGACCTCGTCTCACACACTTCGGACATGCTACCAAGAGAGACCAGTCCCTGGAAAAGGACACCAGGCCTGGTCAGGTAGAGGGGCAGTGAAAAAGAAGAAGGCTTCATGGAGATGGACTGACCGCAGCTGCATGATGAATGAATGATTTATAATTTTAAAAATGTAAACATACATGGACAAATCAGCTTACCTTCTGGTTTAATAAAGCACTTGCCAACTTCTGTACTTCTAAACTCAACAATGTAGTTCCTCTGATGACTTTGCTGAGAGCAGCAAGTGACTGATGGACACTCTGTACTAAACGGATGGCATTGAATTGTTCAAGGATGATGAATGATAACATCGGAGATCCTTGTCGTTCATTAGGAGGAACTACTTTGTGATGAATTAGGTTTGAATTCTAAAGAAAGAGTACATCATGTCACATTTATTAAAAAGTAACAAAAGCATTGGTATGCAAACACTTTAAATATTTAAGGGTGTCACTGTTCTATGCTGCTTTGAAAATTTCTTGTGTTATCGATGGCCAAGTTGATTTTATCTGCAAATACACATGAAGAAGATTCTGAAGTCCAGCTGCAGTTGAAGTGACGTGGAGGTGGGGACTGAGAGTGGTGAACAGGGTACGATCAGGAGCAGCTGGTGCTCCATCAGGCAGGGAGGGGAACAGCACGGCTGAATTACCGCTCTGCCTCTACAGCGAGAGCAAGTGCCTCTGCCGTCACCTATGAACACGTGGTTAGTTCGGGTTAAATACTTATAGCACAGCACTACACTAAAACGTTTAGGTTCAAACCTAGTGAATAGTAGAGTATTTGCTGTTTGTTTCTACATATCTGCTTTTGCAGAAAATGTGATACATAACATTTCTGGGCTTTTGAAAGAAAAATTCAAGGAGTCTCATTTGTTTTAAACAGCTTGTAAGATTAAGAGAGAGAAAAATCACCTTAATGGCATTTTGGAAGTGTCAAAGAATTGTTATAAGATAATCCTGGAAAATCTTGTTCTTGTACCTAATTATGCTAGTTTCATCTACGCATTCTGCTCCGACTCCTAGTTAAAGATCTTTTCTCTTTGTTTCTCAACCTCTCAGAAACAATTTGGAATAGTCAACAATCTTGAGGCCAGTTGTTGCAGACAGTGTGTCAGTCTAGATTATCTAGGGCCTTGATCCTTAAACTGACCTTCCACTTTGCGAAGCACAAGGTCCTTCTCCGGGGACTGCTCTCTCCGGATAACATGTCCAACATGCTTGCGAAGTCTCACCACCTTACCTCTGAAGAGCATTCTGGCTGAACTTCTTCCAAGACAGATCTGTTTGTTCTTTTGGCAGTCCGTGGGACTTTTCATATTTTTCACCCACACTGTAGTTCAAATGCATTGATTTTTCTTTGCTCTTCCTTATTCAATGTCCAACTTTCGCATGCATCTGAAGCTACTGAAAATACCTTGGCTTGGACCAGGTGCATAGGTGAAGGAGTGCTTTCAGTGCCATTCTAGTGCCCATAACATTTCAATGGGTAGTCCATCAATTTCTGCAGCCTCGGTTTTGACTAATACTTTCAGTGCAGCTTGGACTTCTTTCTTCAGCACTATTGGTTTTTGCTCATATACTTCCTCATGAAATACTACTTCCTCTGAGCTAAATGTTGACAATTTCTGTTTGGTACACAGACTCTGTGTATTCTTTCCATCTTCTAATGCTTACTGCAGCATTCAATATTTTGCCCATATAATCTTCTAACACTGCAAATAGAGGCTTGAACTTTTTCTTGAGTTCTTTCATTTTCAGATGTACTGAGCGTGTTCTGTTTTGGTTTTCTAATTCTAGGTTATTGCACATTTCATTATAATATTTTACTCTGTCTACTGGAGTTTCCCTTAGAAATGTTCTGCTCAGTTCCTTGACTTCATCTTTTCTTACGTTGTCCTCATCTACTCTATGATAAAGAGCAGGTTTCAGAGGCTCTTCTAACATCCACTCAATCTTTTCATTCTTGCTTTGAGCAGCACAGCCACACACAAGGCAACACAGTATGACAAACTGACAGGCGAGTGGTGAATACCAAGAAATAGCGAGCCGTGTAGGAGTCCTGGTGGTGTTATAGCTTAGGCTGCTAACTGCAAGGTCGGTGGTTTGAACTCATCCACTTTGGGGGAGAAATGAGGCTGTGTCCTCATATAAAGGCTTAAAGTCTTGGAAACCCTAAGGAGCGGTTCTACTCGGTCTTGTAGGCTTGATGTGAATCAGAATGGACTCAGCGGTTTTGTTTTTAATATATGTATAGATTATACACATATTAACTAATTTAATGACCATGCCACTCCTATAAAGGGAATATTATCATTATCCCCATATAACAGATAGGAGAACTGAGGCACATAAAAATTTAATAGCTTCCCTCTGGTACAAAGTTAGTAAATGCTACAGATTTGAACCCTTACAAGCTGGCACGAGGAGCTCCTGGGTGGCGTAAACAGCTCAGAGCTTGGCTACTAATGGAAGAGCTGGCAGTTCAAAGAGGTACCTGGGAACAAAGGCCTGGTGATTTATTTTTAAAAGATCATAGATCGTTGTCACTGAAAACCCTATGGAGCCCGGTGCTGTTCTGAAACACAGACGTTTGCTATGGGTCTGGAACTGAGTCCATGGGATCTTATTTGTTTGGCGTTTTAGTCTGGCTCTAGAAGACGGCCATTCAGAGTATAAAAACCAACCACTCAAAACAAAGACGGGTTATAACCAGTGGTGATTTCAGCACTTTCCTCATCCACTCTGTGATGAAGAGCAGCTCGGGAGGCTCTTCTACCTACACTCGATCATTCCATTCTTGGGCTAGCTGGACGCGTGAAAACTAGTTGCACAGCAGTCTTGGCTATCCTGGTCAACACATTCGCTCACTCTCTCTTTTGAAACAGTTTTATTAGCCTATAATTCAAAAAATTCTCTTGTCCCCCCTTTCCCAGAAGAGATATAATATATTGTTTATTATCAAGGAATAAATCCACACACAATAGTAAAAAACATAATGCATTAATGGCTTTGGTTAATAGAAATTATTTTCATTATCACAAAAACAAGTTGATTTTCTATTGATCATTGTTTTGCTTTGAACTTGATTTCCTTCCAAGACTTTCTCTTTAATAGCATTCATTGACTTTATGACTACTAGAGACTTTATGACTATAAGAGGAGAAACGGCATAGGGAGTGAACAAAATATATGGCAGGTATAAAAGATGACGTCACAGTATTAGTCTATGGCAAATTAACTGCTGATGGAGCTTCTTGGGCTCAGCCTTTTCTATAACCACTATTTCCTCAATCTCTTGAGAGGGATTTAAATGTTGTAAGGAGAGATCAATGTAAATTTAATAGTCTTACCATAAAGGGCAATCTTGGGATAAAACTGGAGAAAAACATAAAAAGGAAAAATAATCCAAATGATATCCCATGGCTTACCTGATTTAGTTTCTTCCAGAGGTTGAGGACAGGCGAAAGCTCATTAGACCAGATTTCTCTATCAAATTTACAACCAGCTGTTACCGACCTGCCCAAGATCCTCAACTGTGAAATAACCTGTATGAAATAATAAATAAACATAATTTTAGCCAAATATAAACAAATAATATAG